CATCATCTACATTTCTAATAGAAGTTTTTTTTAGCTCTTTCACTTGTGCTCACCAGACAAGGTTTCATAGCAACCATCTGTCACCAGCATAAATGAACCAATTCAAGGACAGAAATAAACAGGACTATTACTAAGTTCTCCCAAAGAAAGTCCTTAGAATAAAATATCTCCTCTAGTTGCCACAAGAGTAAGACAATAGTCCATTATATAAAATTCCAATCTAATAAAAGCTGAAATGTAATGTAGTCTGTTTTCCAAATTTTTATTTTCTTCAGGCTCCATCGTGGTGATCAGGGATTTGAAAATGACTGCAAAGAGGCTCTGGGGAATCTGGGGAGGGAAGAAATGTATTCTAAGAGGGGACTGAGGTGATGGCTACAAAATTCTATATGTCTACTTAAATTATTATATTCTACATTTATAATTAGTGACTTTTATTACGAGTAACTTGTTAAATGATACTTCTGGTTTCTACACCAACTTGTAAGGTGCTCACCACTTGTCATCACAACAAGAAAAAAGCTGAACAAACTGAAAATTATCAACCCTTATTAGAGGGACTGCAGGAGAAGTCACAGGGCAAATTGCCATGCTGAAAATAAGACACACAGGCAAATACAGGGAAAAGAAGCTGCTGAAGCCAGCAACTGGGGGGAGCACTTAAATGGTACTCACAGATCACTAGAAGCTGAGGGTGGCCTGGCTTGAGCATTATAAACTCCTTGGGGCTCAGATTTAGTGGGGATCTCACACTTTTCTAAGTGTTACCACCCGGAGCCCAACCAGGTTCTCATTGTAAAGATCAGAAAAATCCCCAGAGAACGGACACTGCCGACTTCAGTACTGATTTTAAAGATACAGTAACCAAACAGGGTGGAAATTGGCGAAGAAAGAAAAAACAAATAGTCACTAGAAAAGAGTATGGGGCTCAGAAAGAGAACTACATAAATACTCAAGTGATCTTTGAGAAAGGCACAAAGGCAATTTAACAGGGAAAGGACAACCTTTTCAACAAATGATGCTACAATGACTAGACATCCACATGTGAAAAATAAATAAATCTAGGCACGGATTTTACGCCTTTCACAAAATGGCTCTTACACCTGAATGTGAGGTGCAAAACGGTAAGACTCCTAGATGATAACATAGGGGAAAATCTGGGTGACTTTGGGTTTGGTGATGACTTCTCAGAATCTCATCTGCTGGTGAGACTTTGGGGCTTTTGTTACTGCAGCATGAACTAGCAAAGCTCAGTGAGACAGCAGATACAATATACATATACAAATAGACCAGATAGACCAGATGAGATTCCAAAGATAGTTCAATCAGCATTAACTAACTACACCCACACTCTCCGCCTAACAGAAAGAATGGAATTCCTGTTCACTGAGATCTGCCTCAAATAGTACTGTGTGAAAAGTGAGCACTGTCTCTGGCTACTCAAGTCATCGGTCAGGACTCTTTTCCCACCCCCCAGGTTGGAGTGTGGTGCTGCCATCATAGCTCACTGTAACCTCCAACTCAAGGCTCAAGGAATCCTCCTGCCTCAGCCTCCAGAGTAGCTCAGACTACAAGTGTGCGCCACCATGCTCAGCTAATTTTTTATTTCCAGAGACAGGGTCTTATTGTGTTGCCCAGGCTGGTCAGGGCAGTTGACTGCATGTGACACAAACCCAACCAACTCTAGCTCTACACATAAAAGGGTTTATTTTTGTTTACATTTTCTTTTATGGCAGGTTGACTGTGGCTCTGCTCTATACAAGCTATTTTATTTGTTAGATGGTGAAAGCTGTGATACTGGAGAATTGTTGAATGTGGTACGAGTATGTTCATTCATTCATTCATTGAAGCAATATTTAATCAGTATCTGTTTCATACCAGGCAAGGTCAAGTATTGAGAATGCAGTCATGAATAAGAGACAAGTTCTCTAATTTCCAAGAGCTTATATTGAAAATCACATTAAACACATACAAAATAATAGTAATAATAATGAATACTATATTCATAAATAATAGATTTTAGGAAATATTTTAAATTAGAAAAATGTAAAAATTATTACAACTAAAATGGCCAGGTGTGATGGCTTATGCCTGTAATCCCAACATTTTGGGATGCCAAGATGGGAGGATTATTTGAGCCCAGGATTTTGAAACCAGTCTGGGCACCACAGGAAGACCCTGTATACAAAAAATGAAAAATTAGCCTGGCATGGTGGTGCACGCCTGTAGTCCCAGCTACTAAGGAGGCTGAGGTGGGAGGCTGCTTGAGCCTGTGAGGTCAAAGCTGCAGTGAGCCATGATCATACCACCGCACCGCTGCACTCCAGCCTGGGCCACAGAGCGAGACCCTG